AAAAAAAAAAAAAAATTCTCTTAGGGGGACCCGCTCCGCGGCCTGTCCTGATTTGAATCGAGCCCGCTGACCAGGCGCTGGATGCTCTGCAGCTCGTTGGCGGCGTCTTTCTCCGTGCAAGTCTTTGGGGACATGGAAACCGAGCCGGAGGATATGGTGGACGAGTGACTGGTCACCTCCGATGTGGAATCCAGGGTGACAGCAGACACGGGGCTGGCTGGGACGATGCCGTCCCCTTTCAGCTCGGTCCCGCTGCCGGCCATGGAGGGCATGGCGGTGGTGAGCAGGGTGCTGTCCGGTACCGTCATGGGGAGGGTGTATGGGCTGTACCTGAGTCGGGGGCGCACTGCGTTCAGGAAGGGGTGCCGGTGCACCGAGGAGGAGGCAGCAGAGGAGGCTGCCGCGGCTGCTGCCATGTACGTGTACGGATAAGGGAACAAACTGCCAAACGGAGACATGGCAATGCCCTGTGGAGAAATGAAGAGACTGAGTGTGAGCCGCAAGGCTGGTGTTATAGACACAGTTCAAACACTTGAGTGCACTGTAATAGCACTGAATGGGCCAAAAAATGCACGGTGATAAACTCTTTTACCAGACTGCTGCATCTGTATGTTTTGGATTAATGTCTTGGAACAAATGCATGAAAATAATGATTTAAAGTGAACTGCTTTGGGCAGTTCTTGTGCTTTACTTTCATTGTCCTCAGTAAGTTTTCTTTTCATACACACTGACGCTGGTAATGCCTTGTTTTAAGGCTAATGACGCCGTCTGACACTGGCTGGCTTATGGACAACATTTAATCCAAAACGTGGTTGTGACTTAGGCAATGCAGAATCATGCTGTAGTGCTTTCAGTGCTTCCATTCACACAGCCTTTCACAAATCTAACTTGTTAGGGCTAAGAAAATATTCCAAAGCTTTACCACCCAGCATGTAAACAGCTTTGGTGCTTGTTCAAGAATTTGTATTGCAAATAAAAATGCCTATTATCTCATGTTGCAATCAACAAGGGAAGTTGCAGCTATAACACTTGTTTTGGCAATAAATGGAAAAAGACAAATTTGTTGTCTATTAAAACATAATGTTGTTTCCCTCTCTGAACCAATGAGGCATTTTAATACTCGCCATAATGGCTCTAAAAGAGACTTAATGAGCACATATCAAAAAAGACTAACACCTCCAGCTGTTCTGAGGTGGTCTGTCTCTCAAATCTTTGTATTTCTTAATGAATGATAGTTGGGCTAATATCCATAACAACAATGCCAGGAGAAAAGAGAAAGCTGATAAAAGGTGCTCTCTGATAGCCCAGTATAATATTAGCCTATTTGGCAATACAACTAAATAAACAAACGTGCAAAAATACAGACACACTGCCTTTCTTTCTCACAATTATGTCTAAAAACACACATGAACCTGATGAGAAGAGCATTAAAGACATTTCAATATCTGACATATTAAATGTGGCATATGTGCCTCCAAGGCCTGCAGTCTGCTGTACTATATAACCCAACATGTGCTTTAAGGCTGAGCATAGGCCCAAGAAAACAGGTTTTACCTGTGATGCCAAGACATGTTGCTGCAGATGAAAGGGCAGGCCTGGCGCTCCCGTCAAGCTTTGCGAAGGTGATGCCATGCTCGTGGTGTCCATGGTGCTCACTCCTCCCGTGGACACAGCTGCCAATAGTGGCCCCATACCCGCGGCCATGTTTGAGAATGCACCTCCCATGTTGAACTGACTGGGGTGCAAGAGAAACGGATGCGCACTCCCAAGGTGATTGAAAAACTGTTGTCCTGTTAAGCCTGTTGGAAATCCAAAATTATGCAAGTGGCTGTGGCCTATGTGCGGGCTGTCAGTCTGAACAGTCAAAGGCATGAAACTGTCTTTGCTTATTGGCCTGCACTCTTCTGTTTTGGGCTGGTCCAGGTTCGGGCTCTTGAGGTCTTCTCCAGAGCGAGTCGTACTGGAGATGACGGTGATTGGGCTCTGTCTGGAGTCTGCCTGACTTTTCTCAGTCCGAGGGCCGCTGTCGCGGTTCCTGCTGGTAGTGTCACTATTATTAAAGGCATGTCCCTTAGCTGGGCTCGCCTCGTGATCCTTCCCGTCCTCCGTAGTCGTGGAAATCTTGCTAGAGTCCGGACCATCTTTGATGTGCCCATCTTTGCTCTCATCGTCGCTGTCCTCATCGCTGTCGCAGAAATCTGTCAAAGCAGAAGGAGTGGACTATCAGTTACCTTTCCGCACATGGGTGAATCATCAAAATAAACCCCACATTATCAGTCAGGTGGCTGCACTTTGAATAAGAAACGGAGCTGCAGGACACTTGTTTCTACTGTAGGAGTCCACACTAATGCGAACAATAAAACATTGTTTTCCATTAGGCTCGTACAACACAGAAGTAGATGACATTAGTTTTAAAAATATATATTTTTGTTTATTTTTTATGTATTTTTGTAGCAGACTAATATCTTTCTTCTGCACAGACAATTGTCTCTTTAATTAGTGAGCATGTTCGTGCTTTCATTATGTTTTACTATTCATCTCAATAAGACAGTCAATGTGAAGGATTGCTCCGTCAAATTTTCCAGTGTACTGAATATGAGTGATCAGCTAATATTAAAAGCGGTCCATTGACTGTAAGCACTTTACATCCATACAGTTTACTCTTACGTAGTAAAAAAAAAATATATATCTGGCCACAATCAATATTTTACGACTTCTACACACGACTTGTGATAGGAGCTGAGACTGAGTGTGGGGTCTGTCAGCCTACCTTTCAGGTGTGGGGGGCCCACGGTAGACACGGCAGGGGACGAGGCCTGGCCGAAGCACTTAAAAGAAGCCTGCTCTCCGGAGGAGTCGTCTGAAGCCCCGTTCTCCTTTTTCTGCTGCTCCTCGTATGAACGCATGGATTGCAGCGCCAGCTGTTTCCTGTGCACAAGCAGGCTACCCAGGTTATTATAGGTGGTGGTCACAGCTCCCAGGTCAGAAACAATATCAGCAGCACGATGAATGGTTTATGAGTTTATTTAGATTGGACACCTGCGATAATGAAGCCCCTGACTATAGGACTGACTCACCTATGCGGCAGGTACCAATACCATTACAGTGCCATTGCTTTAGCAGGCCAGTGTATCTATCAACCATGTCATGCCAAATTAAACAAAAAAAGCACATTATAATTCTAAAAATTCTACGTTTTAGGATTAATAATTTAAAATAATAATTAACAATTAGCAGTTTCTGTACTTGCCAAATTTTAGCCTTGTACCTATTTGATTTGAAACTGAGGAGCCAGACTCCCTGCGGGTTAACGTGAAAGCTTTAGCGCGGGTGTAATCCACCGAGATCACTGTCTGTCTCCAGGTATACACATTTTTGTCCTTTTTATTCCTTTATTTATTTACAATGCAATTTTTCCTCTGTCTTACCTCTTTTCCCGTCTCCCATTGCCCGTGTCACGGAATCCTTTGGCAAATGGATTATGGTCAATTTTCAGCTGGGTTATCTGAAATAATTAATGTGTAAATATTAGCAACTGAAAAATCACTTCCCTACAGTGTTGTCATTCAGTGTGTCTTTATTTTTATTTTTATTTTTATTTTATTTTTTTTACAAATGCTGGTAAAGAATCAAAGCAGGGGCTATTTTTTAACAATACATTCAGATTATTGTCCCAACAGGCTAAAGCTACTATAATAACACTATTTGGGGTTTACAGACAAAACACACACAGGCACACACGCGCACACAAAGAGCACACGAGTCTTCCTATTGGCACGTTTTTCCATGAGGACGAAATATGCCGCTTTTTGTGTAAACTTTTGCAAAACTTTACTCCCACACCACTTCCTCTCAATCTCCGGCTGTGTTACCGCTGCACATGGGAGGGGAGGTGGGTGGGGGGTTAGCCTACCATCGTTTCCCAACAATATCAAAGAGTTGAGGAGATGATTTTCATTATCTTTACGTCAGGGACTAAAATGTTACCATGCAGCCCGGTCTGACACAACCAAAACGCTCCCCCACTTTTGTTTCTTTTTCTCCATCCAACCGCACAGTGTTTGCCCTCTTCTTTCTCTCATTTCTCAACCCCCAACCCCTTTTAGTTTCTCACAGACACACACACACACACACACACACACACTCACTCTCTCATACACACACGCAGAGAGAGAGAGAAAGGGAGAGAAAGAGGGAGAGAGAGTCTGGGTCTGCGCCAAATCCTTTCCACGTGATTAAATATAAGGAAGACAACCTGTATAACATTCCTCAGAATTATTACTTTCCTTCCACGGGCTGGTGAATAGGGCATTTACTCGCAACATCATCCCCCCCACTATGTTACCTCACTCTCACAGGCTCAAACAAATATGACGTCTTTCATATTTTATGGCAACAAAATGGTGCAGAGCATGAAAGACAGGGAGGGAAGCGCGTCTGACAGGGCAAAGGGACAAGCACACAAGCTATACTTTAGAGAATATTCAGGATATGAAGTTAAGCCTATGAGCAATAATTGTGCTTACCTTGTCATTTTGATAAGCAGTCACAGCAATGAAATCCGTTTCAGGGAAAACATAAGTCCTGAAGGTACTGTACGGGAGTTTGAGAATGTCGTTGGCCCTCACAATGTGAAATCGAGGCTGATATTTGTGCATTGAGTTAAGTATGGTCTGCAACAAACAAGCACAGAAAGAAAATAAAAATGATTAGCGCACTATTGATGTTCCACTGTTACAGAATTAATTTTCTTAAAATGTTCTTAAATTCGAAATCAAAGTCACATTATTGGGAGGAATTGAATCTTTTAAATAATATTGGGTTGTAAAACTTCCAAATTATATATATAAAAAAAAAAATCACCATGGAAATTATTTTTGGTGGAATATTTAATCAGTTGAATAAAGCAGTTATAGAGCCAGGGACGTCCATATAGATATAGGCTTAATTGTCTTGCTTGACAATTAACAATATTATTTCAAAGGTAATGACATTTGTATTTTTTTTTTAAATTTTTGTAATGATCTCCAAATCTTCAAATCAAATCTTAAATCTAGTGGGACTTCCTCTGCTTCCATACAATTAAATACAAACAAAAAAACCATCAAAATACATTTAATTGTGTGGCTAACTAAAATGGTATGTTGATAAATAGGAAAATTGACATACATTAGTTGAACTTACAAATCCATGCTTGTCGGAGATGTTATTTGTCAGCTTGAGCTTGTGAAAATTGACGACTTTTGACATCCACTGTTCACCAGTAGCCGGACTGTCCGGGTGAATGTACATCCTCTTTGGCATTTCGGGGTCGGCCTTCCCCGCCACCATCCAGCGGGAGTTATGAAATTTGTACCTGCAGTCGTCGGCTGCAACTATATCCATCAAGAGAATATATTTGGCCTTCTTGTCCAGACCAGTGCACCTCACTTTGAACGGGGGAAACATCCGCCTGTGACAAAGGAAAACAAATGATAAGCACTGATGTAGGGCCGAATAAAAAATCTGGTTAAAATGTTCAACAATATAAACATAAAGCTGGAATATGTTTAGATTACTAGAAATATATGTTCATTTTACATAAATAGTGCTGTGTCAGTTTGATAAGGAATGTGATGTAGCCTGTTCTTAATTTTTTTTTTTCTGAGACGAGAAGAAGAGCATAAATGTCTGAATAAGAAGTTAAGGGGACAATTAAATATATTCTTCCTCTACTTTATCTCTGATCAGGCTGTAAACAATACGTCAACGCTGTTTGGACGGTGTCTGGATTTTTCTGAATGCCTTGAAAGGCCTACACACCGACACAGCAGCCATCTTTGTATTCTGTCACTGTAATAAGGACGAAAACTCAATGTTGGCATTTCAATGGATTATCCGTCAGTGTAAAGTTTTGACAAACCCGGCATGAAAAATGAACAATAGGATTATAAGCAAGCATATTTGTATATGAGGATATAGAGCCATGAAGTTGTAAGCTACTGTAACTGGAGGCTTAATATTAATAATACAGAAGCTACAAGCACAGTCCCTTTTTATTTTACAAAATAACCTCAAAGCTAACAACTGATTTCCCAGCATTAAAGACTTGCTTGTTAACATGTTCAGTTTACCACAGACCTCTGAGTTTGCATGCTGAGTGAGCACACAGGAAGTCTTAGCTTTATCTCAGCGTTTCTGTCTGGCTAAAAATAAATATCTATATATTATTTGTTTTTTTTTGTGTGTGTTGTAGTCACTACATATTATCGTGTAATAAATGTCATATTTATATGACAACTGCGAGCCAATTGTGCTGCAATCTAAGTTGAGTTAAGACACATTAGACTAACTAACTAAGACTTGGGAGCGTTGAATGAAATAAAGACGTTATCTAGAGGAATTGTAGAAATATACCTGCATAGATATAACTCCAAGTGGCATAAGTACAGATCTGTGTATAATATCATCCATCAATATGCACAACAGACTTCTGCACGTCAGATTATATATTACATTTTTGGGTGAACACACACACACACACACACACACACGCGGACACACACACACACACAGACACAGACACAAAAATCAATTTTACCTTCCAGATTTTGTGATCACCATCTCAGTGCCTCTCTTGTGGAAAAGTTCCCAAAGCTCCTTGGCTTCCAGGTGAACTTTAGGGTCGTCCTCCACCTCCTCCTCAGGCTCCAGAGTCTTCATAGGCCTGAGGTGGGCGGCCGCAGCCTGGTGCCCCAGCGAGGAGAAGTGGAGGCTGGTCTCCGCGGCTCCCATCAGCTGGTCCATGATCGGCTTTCCCAGGGCGCCCGGGAGAGAGAGGGAGCCGCTGTGAGGGAGCGCCAGAGCCGGGAAGAAAGGGGGCTGGTGACCCAGCATTGCACTCATGGCAAATTCCGGACCCCGGTGAGGTATAAACGGATGATATGCCATACTTGATCCTTGTATGACTGGATCTCTCATCAGGAAGTTCATCCAAGTGCAGGCACGACTTGTTGGATATGAAACAATGTTTCTAACAACAGCGAAGCCTGGTACGAGAGGAGCAAACGGAGACAAAATAAAAAAGAGGAGAAAAATAAAGCTGAATTTGGCAAACTTAGGAAATTCCTCCTTCAACTCTGCAGAAATAAGCATCCACTTCTTTTTTCACAAGTTGCTGGGAAATCTCTAGAGTCGTTTGCTGAATTGTGATCAAAAGTCTGCAAAGCGAAATGTAAAAATGTTCTCCATTATTCTTCAGAAGTGCTGCGAGACCGATTTTCTTCAGAGGTTGACGCGCATCGGACACCTTTCTGTGTCTCGCTGGCTTGCGGACATTAGTCGAATTAAACCAACTGGGGTGAGTCACTTAATTGACTGCAGTGCATTCTTTCTCTTCTGCTGCTGTTTACAATATCGGCATTCCTGTTAAAATGCGTTCCTTCTTATTGGCTTCAGTCCTGCAGCGACGGCGACGTGTTGAAATATTTCGATAGCGCCGAATAATCCCCCTGCCTTTACTTGCTCCGGACATGCACCCTCACACGCACACACACACTTTATTCCTCCTCTCTCTTTCACGCACACACACATTTCAGAGAAAGACGTGTGCAGAGAAAGAAGTCCGCTGACGGCCAGAGAGAGAGAGAGAGAGAAGAGAGAGAGAGAGAGAGAGAGGTGGTAAGGTCCCAGCTCCGTGATTTTCCTAGCGCCTCTGTGGCCCATAGCGCTTCATACTGTATGGATGTGTTGCATGTTACGAGTAGCAGCGCTCCGTTTGATTGGCTCTTTGACGCTTTCGGACCAATTGTGTGGCTGCGTAGGCGTGGTTTTAACAGGTCGGGTGGAGGGGACAGACTTCAGACTTATAAAAAGGTGTTTGGAAACTCAAAAGGGCTTTGCCGTGAAACACCACCCTGCCCCAGTCAGTGTTGTGTGAATATGCCAACATCGTTACAGAAGTTGCGCTATCGGTCGGTCTGTGAGACCCAGCGAAAGGGGAGAGAGCAAGACAAGCCAAGCCGGGGAACCGGCACGCTTTGTCGGCGAGGTGTTATGATCTGTTGGGCTGTTGACTTCCTTCTCTGTCCCGTAGCACAGCACCGTTCTTACGCTTTGGATATCACGCACATAATATTATTAATTCATAAGTAGCCTATATTTATTTTATGATTGAACAATATTTCATTTGCGGTCTGCAGTTTGCAGAGATTTAACAGCGCCGAAAAGCAGCCGAGTAGCCAACATTTCCTGTAACATCCTCCTTTGAAATCATAGCTCAGGAAAATATGAGCTGGTGACGGGATGAGACGCTCGATGATAAGTTCATGTACTGTTAATAAGAGTGTTATGACGCCGCTGAAACGCCCAATAATTGTTTATCATTAAATTTATATTGGTTTATTAAATTGTGTTAGAATGTTTATGGCTTAAAAGTTTATTTCCTATATTGTCATTTCTGATATCCACACATACATTGCTACTACTCCTTCATCCCGCACTCTTCCTCTTTAATATATAATATTGGGCTAATATATCAAATCGAAACATGAATCGCTGATGAACTGATGACTCTTGGAAAAGTGGCAAAAACGTTTTCAACTCTAGTGGAAATTTTCCTTTTGACTTGAAACAAGTTGACCTGAATTAGAGCCTAATCGTACATCACCAGTTTGCGCGCAAACAGGCAGAAGAGAGTCTGTGAGGATGTGTTCACTGGGGCTTGTGTGTTATCAATTCCTGTATCAAACCGACTATGTTTTGAAGCACACCAGTCAATTCTGTTGTTAAATATAGCACGCTTTCCCGGCACAGCTGTCTGGGAAACAATTCAATTTTAGTCCCATGTCTATAAAATGACACTTGCGCACTGATAGTACAAGGCTTATTTTTAATTCTATTTCAGCAAATGTTTTCTTCAGGTTTCTTACATCAATATTCTGTAGGTATGTACAATTTTTTCTTTTTAGGTAAAGCCGTGGATATGAATAAAGTGTGTGGACTTTATACTCAGCTAAAACGCCGATTAGAAGTGTGCAGTTGCGCACTTTTGGGTGCAATAATATTGCTTCACTGCAAAGCATTTGGAGAGGTGTGGACCCTAGACAAAGCCACGTTAGTGCTCTCTAAAATGCTATTTAACCACAAATTCGCAAGTAAACTAGAGAGCCGTGGCCAGTCAGCCACCTTGGATAAACATTGACCATCAATTCTCAGTCAATTGTCTGTCTCCGTGGATCGCGAGGACCGAAGCGGTGGTGGACCTTAAAGTCCTTGGAACTTGTAAAATGCCTCGAGGTTCATATTAGGAGCCTCGGAAAGCCTTTACTTCAACAGAATTTCCATTCAGCACTGCTCATGCATGCTAGTATTAGTGAGAAGCCTCTGTCGTCATATTATGCAGGGTTTGTTCATTGCAGATCAATTGTCCATCATGATGTGAGTTATACATGTTACAGTGCCCTCTTCATCATATATTTGGCTAGATGACAAGCTACCCCTCTAACACCTGTTTTGTGTGGATCTCCATATATGCATATGTATGTGCAAAGTGGAGTGGCTTGCATGCATATGCAGTATATTCCCCCAGGGAGATACACAAGGATATTCAGCTTATGTGTTGTCTTATTGATTTTCTAGAGAAAACAAATGCGATAGCTGTTGATAAGCCACAGCAGCGTCTGACTGAATGAAAATCTAACACAGCTCCAGTAGCTGAAATCAGAAGCTAAACCTTTACATGGTATAAGCCCCAAAACGAAACATGCGGCTTTCCACCATCCTACCTGGGGCCTTCCATCCTTCTCTTTGTTTGAGTGAGGTCAGGCCTGTGTCAATTACTGTGGCTTATTCTTCTTTAAACACTCACCCCCATTAGCAGCACATTTCAATTTAGTGGAAGGTGTCATCAAATAGGAAGCAGTGTTGACACGGCGGCAGCCTTTCAGTCTCAGTGGCCAAGCTGGCTTCATTAGCTAAGCAAGTAGAGAATGGTCAATACACTATATAAACTTTTACAGGGTTAGGGCTCTCAGGGACTCAGAGAGGCTATAAAAAGGTCTGAGCTGACACTACTGATTGATGAAGGCAACTTTGTCAGCGCTTCCCTTTTATACATCTACAGAGATCATGCATATCAAAATCAAAAGGGGCAGTATATTTGACTGGACAGGCTCTAAAATCTCTCACTCCAACGTGGGTGGGTATTTTCTGGCGGAGGGGGGGGGCAGCTTGTGTTTTTAAACTTGTCTGTTGTATAAAAGCATCATGCAGTCCTGTCCACACAATTTGTAAAAGTTATCCTCAAAGAATATGTTATAAGATGTTAGAATTTAAGTGGAAAAGCAGCCCCTTTCACGTGGTGCTGTAGCGCAATTCATTTTATTGAATATTCTTATTACTATTACCCATTGCAAGCCTCCCAATATTATCAATGAGGAAAAACTCCATTAAGGTCATGGGTTATGAAGCCTCAGTGCCCTACACACAACAGCTATACTGTGTAGGTTCATTAAGCAAAGCTTCAAAGACATTCCTGGAATTGATCATGGAGCTGCAAGTGATGTAATGTATGCTGTCCTGTTTATTTGCAGATTGTTAATGATAAGCAAGGACAGACTTGGTGGCACCGCTCCTGAATGGAGGAGATTGTCTGCTGAGAGTCATCAACCCTAACATGACATGATAGGGAAAGGAAACATCACAAGATTAGTATATTCAACTACTATAATGACTACAAACTTCATTATGGGCATCCCAGCACACAAAGTGGAGGGGGAGATGTTCAATTGACAGCATAATGACTTTCTAAATGCAAACGATTTACTTCAAGATTTAGGTGGGGCTAAAATTGATCCATTGAGGCTATATTGCAACAAAAGGGGCGCAGATTGTAAAATGCACTTTCCAGAATCACACACGTGTTTTAGTCAGTTGGCAGGAGGAATTGATAAACTCTTTACCTGTCGATGAATTGTCCCCGTTAGCATTTTTAGTCAAGTCAACCCTTGCTCTCATCAATTTCTGTGCTGGCCAGTTATAGGTATTGATGAAAAACAATTTTAGTTAATTAGGGGATGTGCTTATTGATGGCAGTGCATTGACTACAGATTGACAAGAAAAATGGTCATGTGTTTGCTCCCTTGGTTGAGGTTGTTCATCAACACTGACTCTAAGGCTCATAACTTTTAAGTTACTACCACACAGTTAAGGGAGAGGATATTGAAAGGTGAAAAATGGCCCATTTAGCTTTTGATCCATTATCTAAATACAGAATTATTGATGCTAAAATGCCTTGATCTTAATCTCTATAAACAGAAAGATGTGATACAAAGTTTAAAGGACAATCTGATTTGTTCATCATGCAGCATGTAATATGAGATGAGTGTCACAGTTATGAATTCATAAGATGTGATACTATTACACATTATAATAAATTAGACGTGACCTCTGACTTGAAATGTTACTGGACAATATTTTCACAACTGTGCAAGATGTGTTTTATAAAATCCCATTCAAGTCAAAAATCATCAGAGTTTGTGTTTTGTTTATGAATACGTTTGCATTGCATTGTCTGGCCAGAAGTCCACTAAATGCTCACGTTTCCTATTCACATAAAACAAGCTATGCTCATTATCACCTGTTGCTGTAGAATAAAGTAAGGACTGAACAGCTGCTTTTTTAAGGTACATTGTACTCAGCACTATTAGAACAAACCAGTCCAGTGGCATGCATCACCTGTAGAGCATAATGCAGGGGATTTGTCTGCTCAACCCCATAAAGGCCGTCAGGCTTTCTCTGCAGCTACAAGCTGTGTGATCAAGATGCTCGTGGTAAATGCCTCAGATGTGGACCATGTGTCAAAAGACTTTAGCTTGCCTTACGTGCCACCACTTGCCAACATGGGAGATAAGCATCTTTCGTCTTATATTCTACAAGAATCTTACTGAAACCAGTTTTGCATGCTACAAAGCAAACAATAGCAAATGGAAAACAGAAAAATCCTCAGGTTATTTGTCATCAAGTTAGCGCAAAGTAAATATGTTCCCGCTATGTTCATGAGAGGCATCAGTTAGGGACTATTTAGGGCTTGAATCAAAAAGTGTTTAGGTTTGCACTGTGCAGTGGGCAGGGAGGTTGCCCTAATGTGGATATCTGCTGTCCATTTAGCTTCCCCACCACCGGCATTGGCTTTGTGCTGCTTTGAGTTTGCAGTCTCACGAAGTTATAAGATTTTGCCATTGAATCCAACCTCAAGACCCAGTGCTTTTAAGAGGAGTGGTATAAAGCAGTGCATTCCTCCACCAAGGGAATCTTGGGCTAAGGGGTTAGGGTGGCTTCTCTCTAGAGGTTAAGTGGGATAAGTGTGTGGCTCATGTCAACCCCACTACCCCCCAATAGTTTCTGGAAAATTTGCAATGGGGTCAGATTGGATTACTGTGTTTTGGTATTTACATGGAGACATAGGGCTTTGAAATGGAAAACCATAGGCGGAAAAGCAAGTGCCATGCAGTCTGAAAGGCTGGGTAAAAGAAACCAGCACTGATTTCCACTGACGGGATGGTTGAATACATGTCTTTTATGTCTTTCTGCCCCACAATCAGACATTTTGTTACTAAGAACGGTGATTGAGGTAAATGGATCAAGGGCAATACCAATCTCTAAAGTAAATCCATGGTAAGTACTATGATAGACATTCAAT